ATCGGGTTATGTCGCAAAACATCACAACCCCAAACCCAAACCCCAAACCCAACCCCAAACCCAACCCCAACCCCAAACCCCAACCCCAACCCCAACCCCAAACCCATAGGCGATTTTTAATCCTAATGAAGCCTCTTTAAGCTCTGCCTAAAAAAAATTAAATTTTAAGAATGGTATGTACTGTTTAATAATTATAATCATAGAAAATCAATTAATCCGTTAATAAATATTATTTTTTTGGTTTACAGTATTTATTTTAAATATAATAGACAAGATAATCAAGACATAAACATAATATCAAAAATTAAAAAAATTAATGATCTATAAATATAAAATTGCCCATATATTAAATATTTTACGTTCAGAAGTGTTGAGAAATGTTCTTAACTATAATTCATATCTGTTAATATTTTCATTGAGCAAAGCATTAGATTACAATAATCACAAAACAAGTTAAATATTAAAACATATGTACAAATAGTAAATATTCTAAATAATATACTGTTATGTAAACACAAAGGTTGAAAATTTATAGAGTTTTCACTGCAAGTTTTCAGGATTTTCAATTTGAGTGTTCTATTTGTAATTTTCATAAGGGTTCTTTTTCGTTTAGTTTCAGATTGATTTGGAATCTAATTCAAATATTAAATATAAACTAGAAAATAATTTTATATGTGAGTTACTCTAAAGTTACCTTTTAGCCAAATTACATTTAAAATATTTGGGTCAATTATTAATAGAGTTGGACAATTTAAATAAAATTTAAGAAAGCAGGAAGAATAACTATTATTAAAAACACAATAAAATACAAATTACTTCTTGTTGCACTAGTCTTCAATTTAGTAATAATATCTTAAATTTTAAAAATTTAAATATTAAAGGATGATATATGTTTCTTGATTATTGTTTCAAAATTTTATGTTTATTATAGAAACTAACATTTTTAATGTATCCTAAATTATATTAAATCATTAATTATATTAATGATTTAATCTAGTCTTGCAATAATTCTTTATCTGAATTGTATGATAAGGGTTTTTGGAATTCAAGAAACGATATCAACTTCATTTACAGAAAGCACGTTTTCTGATGCTGATGGTAATTAACATTCATTCATATTTAGGTTGGGTTGTAATTGGAGCTGAGCCATAAATCACATAATGTTAAGGCAAAACATTATTTGGTGGTTATAATGCTTTTGGATTTTAAACAAGCGTTACAAAGACTATTGCACTTCCACCTCATTATTAGTTGACAATGGTATTGGAATTTTGCAAGTAAGTTTTGTATATATTATAGTATCGATACCTTGGAGTTTGAATCTTTTCATGTATATTTTGATCAGAATCTTCAACCGGACTTATTATTAGTTAAAAATCAAAATCATTTAATGTGTGGGGAAGAGACAGTGGGAGACAAATGCACTATTTTAAATTATACTTAAGTTCATTCAAGTCCTACAGTCGTAATTGTGCTCACGACTTCTGGGGGTAAACCAGTTAGTTAGGTAAGAAATTAGAATATTTTCAAGTAATCTTGGGGAATTAGAGATGTCTATATATATGTTGAGAAATGTCCAGATGGATGCTTACTCTGCAAAGCTACTGATTATTTAACTATTTAATGTTTAGTTTGGTCGGTATTATATAGAAGTTGGACCTAACTAAATATAAATTAAATATCATCAGATGGTTGGAATGTAAATTTGGGAATTGCTGAGGCAACATAATGTGGATGTAAGATAGAATAAATATGAATTAAGCTACGGCCTTATTTGGCGGTTATCTGAAGACAGGAGCAGGTACAGTTATAAGTCAGTCTTTTATTAACATCCCACAACATGACAAATTGAAGATTTAATTTTTGTGGATGAAAACAGATTTTTGGCAATCGAATTAGGCATAAATGTTAGTAGATGATGACTTGGTTTGGTAAAAAGCATTTTCTAAAGGTGATGGTTACGATTGGTTAATTTGTGGGAATCAATTTAAAACATAGTTTTATAGAGTTGAATT